CTATTTGATGAATGTGTACTTTGAAATTGGCCAGGATCATAACAGGTGGGTGGGTCGGATTGGATTTCGTTTAAGCATTAATTGGTGTTGATTTGAGATGATGGATACATGGACAGGAAGGGTTTGGCTGTTTTTAGTGTTGAATAACCGGAGGAACGATCGAGGAGGCTGAATGGCAGACCACGTAGGAAAATCGACCATGTGATTGGTAGTACTCCCCAATTTTTGTTTTGGTCAAACCCTTCAGTGTGAAGGCTCTGATGGAGCTTTAGAGTGAGTTCTGATTGTAGCTGGTTGAGTTCGGCTGTTTCCTGCAGAATTGTCACACAAACTGTCACAGATAAAATATACTAACATTGCTCTCCTTAAAAAATCGTGGTACAGGTACAGAGCAAGGTGATTGTGTTGAAGTCGACCTGCGGGAGGGGAGGAGGAATAGCGGTCTCGGCAATCAGACAGGCGGAGAAAGTGAGAGAGAAGGAAGGCAAGGGCCTGAAAAGCCTGGAAGAGAGGAGTCCGGAGGTGGGGAAAAAAAAATCGAGAAAGGATAGGGGAAGCAAGGAGAAGAAGGAGAAAATAGAAAGGGATGTAGAAGGGAAAGTATAAGGGAACGAAAGACAGGAAGAAGTGTTGCAGCTGGGACGAAGAAGCACAAAAACCATGAGAATCCTCAAGCGGAGAAACAAGTACCAAAGGGCCCAAAAAAAGGTCAAAAATATCATGATGACATGGGTGCGGCAAGACAACACGCCCAGACCCGTCTTGCCATCCTTTGAACAGCCCAAGGGCGATGGAGATAGAGAGAGGCACGCCGAGAGAAAAACGAGGGTAGGGCAACAGATGAAACACGAGACAATGTACGTGGGACAAGGGGTGGGGCAGGACCGGTGGGACTGGCGGCCCCCTCACACAAAGCCTCCAGCTCGAAGACGTGGGCAGAAAGGACGGGGAGACCCTTAGCCGGGAAATCTATCTCATTTTAATGAAAGATAGAGGGGAAAGAGGGTGAGGGAGGGGGGGGGGGGGGGGAGGGGGTAAGAGAGGATTGGATGATCCCGCTGGTCAATTAACAACCGCAGGGGAAATCGTTTCGCCCCATTGCCAGAATCACAAGTGAAAGAAGGTGGCTTGTCAGGCCAGAACTGGGGCGAGAATCTTGGGGACCCGAAAGAAAATGGAATGAGAGAACGAGGGGGGGAAGGAAATCAACTAACAAGGGGAGTGGTACAAGACACAGTCCTGGTCGAACACAACACAAAGGGGGTTGCTAAGGGGCTGGGAGGGCAGAGAGGGGGGAAGAGCCCCCCCCAAGGGCAGATGGTGCAGAGGGGGGAGGGGACCGTCAAGAAGTAGGCAACACTGTGACGCCCAACCTCACGCCCAGCGCGACTTCCTGATTGGAGTAGGATGTGGGCCCGGAAGTGCGAAAAGGGGTGTGCCAAGGATTTTTGGGAAAGTGGAGTCCCAGGTCAGAATTAAGATCTCCTGTGGCAGGGTTTTTCGGGGGCACGAGTGCAATTTGGCGGAGAGGGTGGACCGCGTCTGGTTACAAGGCAGATGGTATGCGCGGGTCGCTCAAGGCCGAGCGAGCCATTGGTTTCGGGGACGGCGGTTCACGGGCGGGTCCCTTCGGGGTAGATGGGGTTCCGATGAGTCGGGCCGTCGGGAGTTGCCACGTGGCGCTGGTCGTCGCGCGTTCGGGTTAGGCCTTCGGAATTCCAGGGTTCTCTGATCGCCGCGTCGTCGGCAATTCCCGCAGGGTGTGCTGGGCCAGTAGGGGGCTATGGCCGGCCACGAGACGACACAGAGTTGATGATATGGAAGAAGAAGGCGAAAGGGAGAGAAACTGGTGGAGATAACGACAAATCCGGGGTGGGTGAAGTAGTACTTATGGTTCGGAGAGGGGAAATCAGAGCACCGGAGGTCGCTGGTAGTGGCGCAGTGAAATTCCCGAGGACACAGTCGGTTCTTGGTTAGGCAAGGGTATCTCTGTCGGAGGAGTTCGTTTATCCAAGGGGTGCAGTAATCCGGGTCGTATGATGAGTCGGAATTCCAGGATTGCGTCATTGTGTCATTGCGGGGTTATGAGTTGCCTAAGGGTGGGTCCGTGGTGAACACGATCGCCGCGTGGGAGCACGCGCAGGCCACGCAAAGTACATCGGGCTTACGCGTGTTCATGAGAGACGATTGCACCGTTGCGGACCTCGGGATAGGCCCGTCCAATTAGTTAGTGCGCATGTGATCGACGCCTGGGGATATGTGTAAGTGCACAACTCAGATCGCGTTTTACATGTATCCTCACGAGGCGTTCGCCGAGCCCGGCATCCGATCGTCTAATCATTCCGTGCTGTTTTGAGTATGCAAGATGCAACGACCATGATCAGCCCAATCAAAAGACACACGGAGACAAGGACAGGACCACCGATTGCGCAAAATTCCTATTTTACTTACGAGTCCATCAAATGGGGCGAACAAAAGCAAAGACAAGGATCCGGCGGAAAGATAAGCAATCAAACATGGCATCCATACATCCATTCATTCAGCAACCATACACACAGTGCATCAGAGGTGGAAAATCGCAAGGACAAGTGTGAGTAAAAACCCAAGTCCAAATTCCGAGAAATAGAAAAACGGGCAAGCTACCCCGAGTCGAAATCAAAATTTATGTACATGAGACAGGAGGGAGGAAAGACAAAAGAAACAGCAAAACCGCGTCCATCAACCTCAGCTCCCTCTTTCTCTCTCTCTCTCTCTCTCTCTCTCTCTCTCTCTCTCTCTCTCTCTCTCTCTCTCTCTCTCTCTCTCTCTCTCTCTC